CAGCCCATTCTACTTCTCTGCCCCTCCTACCTGTCTTGAGGTGACTTCTTCTGTGTATCCTTAGTTATGGGACTTCTATTCAGCTGCACTTCAGGCCATTCTCATTGATGGTTGTTCTGTTGTTTAGTTTTGATATGGTCAGAAATGAGGCAAGCACGGTGTATACCTACCCCATCATAGTGACCAGAAAATCAGTGTGTCATTTAAGGCTGCTGTTTCCTTGATGATTTTCTGTCTGCAAGACTTGCCCACTGGTGTCAATGGGGTGTTAAAGTCCCCTACTATGACTGTATTACCCTCGATCTCTCCCTGTATGTTGGTGAGTGTTTGCTTTATATATTGTGGTGCTCCTATGTTGTGTGCATAAATGTTTACAAAGCAATATCATGTTGTTGGATTGTTCCCTTTATTATATAATGTCCTTCTTAGTCTCTTATTATAGACAATTGTTTTAAAGACAATTTTGTCTGATATAACTATTGCTTCTCCAGCTTTTTTGTTTGTTTGTTTCTATTCTCATGAAATATCTTTTTCCATCCCTTTTCTTTCAGTCTGTGTGTATCTTTCAAACTGAAGGAGGTTTCTTGTAGATAGCATACATATATATCTATATATATAGCTATATATCTATATCTATATATCTATACCTATATCTATCTATCTATCTATCTATATGTATATATAGAATCTTCTTTTCTTATACATTCAGTCACCCTATGTCTTGGATTCAAACATTTAATATGTTTATATTTAAAATGATTATTGATAGGTACATAGTTATTGCCATTTTATTTCAGTTTATGTTCTTTCTCCTTCTATTTCTTAAATAAATCCCTTTAACATTTTTTGTAATATTGAATTGGTGGTTATGATCTCCTTTAGCTTCTTCTTGTCTGGTAAGTTCTTGATCTCTTTTCCAATTTTAAATGATAGCATTGCTGGGTAGAGTAATCTTGGTCGTAGGTCCTTGTTTTTGATTACTTCAAATATTTTGTGCCAATCTCTTCTGACCTGCAAAGTTTCTGTTGAGAAATCAGCTGACAGTCTTATGAGAGCCCCCATGTAGGTAACTAACTGCCTTTCTCTTATTGCTTTTAAGAGTCTCTCTTTGTCTTTAACCTCTGCCATTTTAATTGTAATATGTTTTGGTGTGGACCTCTTTAGATTCATCTTGTTTGAAACTCTCTGTCCTTCCTGGACTTGTATGTCTATTTCCATCGCCATGTTAAAAAAGTTTTCTGTCATTATTTCTTCAAATATATTCTCAATCCCTTGCTCTCTCTCTTCTCCTTCTGGTACTCCTATGATGTGAATGTTGGTATGTCTGATGTTGTCCCAGAGGTTTCTTAAACTATCCTCATTTTTTATTCTTTTTCCTGTTCTGATTGTGTGTTTTCTCTTATGTTGTCTTCCAAATCACTGATTCAATCCTCTGCTTCATCTAATCTGCAGTCTATTCCTTCTAGTTTATTCTTCCTCCTTTCAGGTGTTATATTCTTCATTTCTGACTGGTTCTTTCTAATGGTTTCAGTGTCGTTTTTTGTGTGTGCTTACTATCTCTTTGTTGAAGTTTTCACTAATTTATTTGAGCATCCTTATAACCAGTGTTTTGGACTCTGTATCCGGAAGATAGCTTGCCTCCATTTCGGTTAGTTCTTATTTTGGAGTTTTGTCCTCTTCCTTCATTTGGGACATGTTTCATTGTCTCCTCATTTTGGCTGCCTCTCTGTACTTGTTTCTATCTATTAGGTAGATATACTACATCTCCCAGTCTTGAAATTGTGACTTTATGGAGCAGGTGTCCCTTGGGATCCAGAAGTACAAATCTCCTTGATCACCTGAGTTGGGTGCTCCAGAGGAGTTTCTTTTGTGGGTTGTGTATGCCCTCCTGTTGTAGTTGAGCCTTGATTGCTGTTGTCATATAAGTGGGTGGGATTCACCCTCAGGCTGACTGTGAGGATTGGCCATGACCACAGCTTTACAAACTGTTGTGAGGTGGTTGATTCCATGGTGTGGGATTCACCCTAGTGGGCTCTGGTTCCAGCCGAGACCACAGTTTGTGTGTGCCACTTTTGGAGCTAATCAAGTGGTGCTCTGTTGTGGTCTGAAGCCGGACACTGGCTTCTGGGATGTTGCTTCTGGGACCTCTTGGCAGGGATTCTTGTGCAGGCCAAGATCACCTGCTGCCTATAACTGGCAGATTTGTAAGAGCTACAAAGCTATCCACAGTTGGTCGCTGCCTGTGCTGGACCTGGAAGTGCACAGAAGAGGCCATCCTGTGAGCCAAGGTCAGCTGCCATGAGTACCGGGGCTGTTCAGGAAAAGGCCCAGGGTATTCCAAGGCCTGCTGTTGCCTGGAAGCGGCCCATAATGCTCAGCCACTAAAAAACTCTTGGTCTGTATCCAAGTTTGGTGAGTCAGGATCTCAGGGAGTCACCAGGGTGGAGTGAGTGGAGTTCCCCAGACCAATGCAGCTTCAGACTTTTCCATGTGGGAGGAGGGCTCAACACAGTAAAGATGGTGCCTGGCCACAGGCTTCATGGGATGAAGGCTCAACACAGGGAAAATGACATCAGTCCCTCCAGCCCTTGTCCTGCAGCCTCACAACCCAGTCTTTCCTTGTATGTCTCTGGTGCCTCCTTAGCCCAGGACAAGTGACTGGGAGCAAGAGAGTCTGTGTTTGGGCCCTTTAAGAGAACACTTGGGATTCCAGCCACCTTCCATCTCACCCTGACAAACAGAATTCCTGCTAATTTTCACAGCCAGATTTTGTGGTGGCTCCTTTTCCTGGAACTGGTACTCTGAGCTGGGGAACCTGGTGTGGAGCTGGGACCCCTTGCTCCTCAGAGAGTACCTCTGTAACTGAGATATCCCTCCCAATTCTCAACCACCACAAATGGGTGCGGAGCCAGCCTATTTTGTGTTTCTGTCCCTCCTACCAGTCTTGACATGTCTTCTTTTTTATATGCCTAGTTATAGGACTTATGTTCACCTAGCCTTCATATGGTCCTCCAGGTTGATTGTTCTATAATTTATTTGTAATTTAATGTGGTTATGGGAGGAGGCAAGTGTTTACCTACTCTGCCATCTTGACCAGAACCTCACAGAGTCATCTTCCAAGACTTTTTTCAGGTGTTGCCTCCTCTTGTTTGTCTCCCAGTCCCATGATTTGAAAGCCTCTCTTCTTGGCTCCAATAATACCCCTTGCATAGCTCTAGCATAATGTAATACTTAGCCCACTGTATTCTTGCCTGTCTCCCCACGGGTAATGACTTACTCATCTTTGAAACCCCAATGTCTAATACTTGGTCTGGCTTAGAGAAAGTACCCTGTAACTATTGGCTAAATGAATGAATGATTTCCAGGAAACCATGAGAGGGATAAAGGTCTTTCAGTGAGTGCGTGAGAGATGAATGAATACACAAGCAAAGCCAGACAGTGGATGCCTAAGTGCCCATTTTTCAGTTTACTTGCACTTGGATAATCACAGCAACAACCAAACTGATGTCTATTCCATTTGTACAGTTTGTATTCAGATTCCAGAATCTAGGGAAACATTCCCATAAGTGGTACAGAGGAAGTATATCCTCAAGAAACATTTATGATACAGCAGTTTAAGCTTTCCCTGTGGGACTAACAGCAACACTCTCCTGCCATGTTACTGTTTAATGTCTTCAATTTTTTATCCTCTATCTCTCTCTCATCTATCATCTATCAATCAATCTATCTATCATCTATCTATCATCTATCTATCTATCTATCTATCTATCTATCTATCTCTCAAACTCTTTCTCAATCTTTCTCTCCTTTTCCCCATTCCTGCCTTCCCTTCCTCCTTCTTTCTTTCATTCTTCCTCCCTCTTCCCCCTCTCACACACCCTCAGGATATTTATCTGTATTTGTAAAGCATATTTCAGAATATCTCTGATTAACAACATCGGTCCTTAGATTAAAAAAAATAACTTTAGCATGAGCTGCATGAACATGAATCCACTTTGAAAGCTGTTTAATTGTTCAATTCAATGCATTACATTTCTTTTTACTTGATTGAATATTTAAAAAGTTCATTAGCAAAGAAATATAGAACAATTTGCAAGCAAAATAGAATGTTAAGATGTTAAATACTAAACCATTTCATTTTTAGCATTTTATTGACTACAGATAAATTGGAGTGCACTCTGACTTTGGCCACCATTGTCTGCTGTTCTCTGTTTCTGACCCTATTTCAAACATCCTCATTCTTCTCTTCTCCTAATTTCCTACCCTATCTTTCCTGTCTCCCTTCTGCTCCATTCCTGACATCTTTCACTCTTTTTTTATTCTCTTCTCCACCCATTTTACTGTATGAGCCTTTCTTCATGTTTTATTCTGTGTTTCTCCTCAACTTTTTCATTCTTCTCCCTGACTAGCCCCCTTTCTCCTCTTTTCCTTCTGTTATTTTCTCCCAGGATGAGGTAAGGAAGAGAGAGTGGGGAGAGGAGGGAGTTGAGTTGGAAAAGACAGAGTGGGGAGAGATTGACCGTATAGCTGTCCTGCACCTGCTACATCATCTACAGCAAAAGGGGATGTGCCCTGGCTCAAACCACCCATATTTCCTCCCCTTTACAGTAATGCACAAAACCTTCTTATGCCTTACATGTTTTCTCATTTATAAAATTGAAACAAAATAATACATTCCCAGACTACCTCAGAGATATCAGCATCAAACTTGGGAATGAATATAAAAAAGACTTGAAAAAACCAGACCCTGTAATTGGAAGCACTCGGGAAAGGGTAGGAGGATTATTGCTTTGCACTGAGCAGGGATCTAATTAACTGAGGACTGCACTTTTTTTCTTTCTGAGAAATACATTTTTTTATACTTTTGTTCTACTCATCAAATCACTTGGTTGCATGTGTGCCTTGTTTGAATGTTCTTGGTGTCTTCAGAGGGGAAGGATGACTTGTTTCTTTGTATGCTGTTAATTTTTATTCCTTCCTATTCTCTTGCTTTGGGCTAGCAAATGGAACTTCCAGCAGCCAGCTCTCTACCCCCAAGTCTAAGCAGTCTCCCATCTCTACGCCCACCAGTCCTGGCAGCCTCCGGAAGCACAAGGTATTATGTCTCTTATACCTTACTAAACCCCTTTGCATTTGGATTTTTTGAATGACTGGGTGAAGGTTTTCTTTTCCATTGACTTCAATAGCACACTGAGGTCAGAATTTCCTTTCATCTGGTCCATTGGTATGAAGCCCTGGGAATCCAAGCAGGGACTAAGCTTCCAGTAACTTTTATTTATTCCTCTGACCTCTGGTTTGTTTACTTATGGTTACATTGAACCAAAACGAAGAGGCACAAAGGTCTCAAATATACATTCTGAGCTAATGCTGTTACCAAATGATGGCTCAGGGGATGGGTTGAGCACTTGTCTGTCCCATTCAGAGACATAGAAAGAGGGCATTAAGGGCAACTTGTGTCCCCAGGCACCAGTCAGTAGACGTATCATACAAATAGCAGTCAACGAATGTTTTCACTGAGTTACTCTCTTTAGATTTGCTGGACACCAAACATTTTATTGACTATAGACAGACCCTAGTTTCACTATGTATTCTTTACCAGCCAGACTCTGGTACAGTGCAGGGAGGGAGGGCACATATACATTGCATTGGCCCTGGGCACCATTTACACCTTTAAGTCATCCCAAATAAATACCAGGGGTGCCAGAAGATGTACACATTTTAAGAGATGTTTTTATGTATTACTTTTCAAAGTTGAATTGAATTATGATGGTAATGAGTAGCATGACGTTCGCTCAAAAGATGGCATTAATCAAATTAATGCTAGTATCATTCACTGTATTACAATTTTAATACAGATTTTTCCTTTCTTGAAATGTGTATACATTTTTTGGCAACCTCTGTATACCACTAATATAATAGAAGTATATAGATTTGATAGCCCCATTTCCAAGATTCCCACTCAGAAATGTCTCTTGTATAGAAAATCTGGAGTGGTCACTATCTTGGACCTCATCTCGGAGGTGATGTGAATGTTTTCTGCTCTGATTACCAAACTAAAGAGCAGCTTATTTTAGGATTCTTTTGTCTTGTGCCTACTCACAAGATGTGGTGTGAAATGGGAAAACGGGAAAAACAACCAATGCGGCCAACTCCGTCACAGAACCATAGATTGTTAGAGCTGGAAGAGATCTCAGATGGCGATACATTAGTTTCATTTTATTCTCTCAATGATCTTATGAGGTTGATATTTTACAGATGAAGAAATTGCAACCAAGAAAGGTTAAATTATTTAGTAGGGTAACATAGCTAGACAGTAGCAGATAGAGTTTTGGTACCCACGTTACTGCTGGCAGTATGCTGGAGCCAGTTCACGTTAGGTCATGAGAGCTGATTTTATATCATTTCCCAACTCTGTGTTCAGTGACATTGTGTTGGTAACTAGAACACAGCTGTGGTGGAAATATTTACACCATGGAAATCAGCAAGTAGTGCAAATCAAGGTTTTATTCCCACATAAAGTCAGTTGTTAAATATTTAAGAGCACACCACTGTCTGAAATCCATTTTCATTTCTTTTTCTTTGCATCAGGATTTTAACATCCTGGTTAATCTATTACCTGTTCCATCATTCCTAATGCCTGTTCCCTTCCTTTAGTGACCTATTTAACTTGTGGTATTGACCCTGACCAGAACCTTTTAATTGTCCTGATGATCTATTTGGTTTCCCTGAAAGAGGAGCTGCTGAACTATCCATGTAACCAACATTATCCAGAGACTGTGAGAAGAATGAAAATTGCTTTTGCAGTCAGCTTTCGGGTATTCTTCTGAGCAGCAAAGCTTGTTAATATGGACATTCCAAGATGGGGAATAGCCTACATCTGTGGTTCCACTCTCCCCACAGAACCTCTTATACTACATTGCTTCTTACTGTATCTTTGCCCTATGTATTTGTGCTCTTACTTTCCTTCTGGGAAGTGTGACCTATCCCAGCACCTCCCATGGGTATCTTCCCCAAATAGCTGAGAGAAGCATGGGCATTTATTTGGTCTGCACACTTGAGTCATGAAGACTTTCAGTTGACATTCAGTTTAGTTCATTTAGGCTGGGAACCTATCATTTACAAGGCCATTGAGGTGAGTGCTGGTATAGTTAAACCATTTCTCCTGGTTGGATTTGTAGGCTGTTTGTTTGAGTCGATCCTAAAAACTAATTTGACCACTGAAGAACTAGAACAAGTTATAGGTAGCAGCATTGTCAGAGCTTCACTGTTTTCTTAACTGTGGAATTGTCAGTGTATCATTCTATTTTTAATATTACTCTTTTAGGACAGTTAAGCAAACATTAAGTAATGAATGATATAATTTTCTAGAAAAAAACTATTAAAATTATACTTTGATATAATTCTTACTAAGTTTTAAATTCTTTACTTTGATATCATTTCAAATTTACAGAAGAGTTTCAAGAATAATAAAGAACTTCTGTATACTCTTTACACAGAATCATCAGTTGTTTATATTTTGCTTCCATTTACTTTTATTGGTTCTCTCTCTCTCTCTCTCTCTCTCTCTCTCTCTCTCTCTCTCTTTACACACACACATTTTGCAATTGTTTTAACCATTTGAGATTAAGTTGCAGACATCATGACCTTTTGCCTCTAAATACTTCAGCATGTATTTCCTAAAAATAAGGACATTTTCTTTCATAACCATGTACAATGATCAAAATCAGGAAATTTGCACTGCCAAAATACTCTACAGTCCATATGACAATTTAATTAATTGCCTCAATAACATTCTTTTTTTGGTCCAGGATTCAAACTAGGATGCACATTGCCTGCAGTTGTCATGTCGCTCTAGTCTTCTTTAATCTAGTAAAGTTATTTAGTCTTTTTTCTTATCTTTTATGAGAATATATTGTAGAAAGGAAGAGTACAAGCCAGTTATCTGGTGGGATGTTTTTGTTAGTTTTCCATTTATTTAGGTTCATTTGATGTTTCCTTGTGGTTAACTTCAGATTATGCATTTAAGACAGAAGTGCCATAGAAGTGGTGTTGTGCCTTCCTTGATGCATCCTATTAGGAAGCAATAGCCTCATGCTTACACCACCAATGATGGAAGATGAACTGGTTTTTCTGAATAAGTTAAATGTGTCTTGTGACCTTGGCCTAGTCCCCCTGGGTCTCAGGTCTCAGCTTTTTGCTCCTCCTTTCACACAGCTACCTGAGCCTTAGTACCATCAAGGTCCTTGGCAGTGGGCCTAAGCAGATCTCATCTGAAAGTCCATCCAAGTGGACCTGAAAGGTGTGAGTCATTGTGGAGACAGGAAGCAGGTGGCTAAGGCCATGACTTTCCTCCTGCACAATTGGAAACAAACTTGAAGTCCCAGCATCCCTTTAGTAACTTTTGATGGCTGTGGCAGGGCCCTAAGCTGTAATCAGCCTCTTGGCGTCTCTTAAGCTCATGGAGAATCCTCTTTAATGCAGCTGCAATGGGGTTAGCCAAAGTCCACATACTCAAGTGCTGCAATATGGAACCAAAATAAATCCTTATATAGTTAATGAGAACAACATTTTGCATTTCCATACAGCTTTACCCTTTTGCATAGCCATTTTATAACTTATCCTTGTGATAACTCTGTGAAAGAGGTAGGGTGGATAGCATTTCCATTTTACAGATGAGAAAGAAGAGGTGCTGAGGTTAAAGGTAGCCCAAGTATGATTCAACAATTTGGATTCAACATATTAAATATGTTCAAAAGCTTAGAAATGTAGAGAACAATTTTTCATTTATTTATATATTTTTCCAGGTTGGTGATTGCACTCATGGCTTTAAATTTGGAGCCATTTTGCTTGCTAAGTTACCTGGAGATTGCAGGAAATATATTTGACATATTATTTGAAAATATAACTAATATTATTTAAATATATATTTTTTCCTCTGTGTTTCCAGACTTTTTTTGTTTGTTTGTCATCCTGTAAGTGCTTGGAGAGATAGTTGGGTGAATAAAGCAGGGTCCTGACCCTTAAGTCACAAACACCACTCTAAGTTGATTTTGGTAATGTAATCAAGAATGAACAAAAGACTGCAGGAGCACAGAGGAGGGTAGGAGATGAGGAAAACTTTACAGACTAGGTGACATTTAAGTGGAGCCTTGAAGGCTGGGTAGGATTTTGATGACTGGTGAAGAGAACTGGGCACTCCAGCTTTTAAGAAAAATCAGCAAAAACAAAGCCATGCCATTAGAAAAGTGCAGGGCACATTTGGGTGAAAGCAAACCCAAATTAGAAAACATGTTTCTCAAAACTCTTTCTGATTTCCTTTGCATATAAGCTCCTTGGACCAGAGACCAAGTTTTCGTTTCCTCTAACACAAGAGTATTGCCAGCACAGCTGTATTTGTTACACTTTGTTCTGTAGGGATCCCAGGGACTAAGCAAATGAAGTTCAGGTGCAAATTATTTGTATTGTTAAGCAATACGTGTGTTTCTGTATTTCTACATACCAATCAAAACAAAAAACAAAAAACCCCAGAATGTTGAGATAGTTCTTTTTCCTGAACATTGTTCTATGCATACAAATAAATGTCTTTTGAATACTAAATAAATTGATGGAGGACAGAAGTAAAGACATTCATACTTAGGCCTATTCCTGAGGATTCTCTCCATAGCCTGCATCTCACCCTACACATTCCAAGTCATAGCAACTGCAAGTGGAGTCTCCTCACAATTCTACCTGAAGGGCTGTCCCCCTGTCCTCTGAGATAAGAGTCTAGTACAATCTTCTCAGATAATTATTTTCACCAATAAACCAACTACACTGAAGGGTCTGTTACATGAACGATTAAGAGCAGGGGTGAATGGATAAAGGTCCAAGATGGCGAAATAGGTAAACACTATGCCTGCTGTCTCCCAGTTTCACATTAAAATTACAGCTAAATTATAGAACAATCAACCTCAAGAATCACCTGAAAACTGCATGAACAGAACCCCTATAACTATGGATATACAGAAGAGGCCACAGGGAGACTGGTAGGAGGGTTGGAGATGTCAAAAGGGCTAACCCAAAATCCAGAGTTAGTGGTTGAGCAATGGGAAGAAC